AGGCCTTTTGCTTTCTTACTTATTTCCCCTAAAGGGACACCCAGCACAGAGTAAGACAGGGCTGTGTTGGTGGGATGATGACGGTGTCATTGTTTGGAGACGATATTTTTCAATGAGCACCCACACACGCGGTGTGTGCACGTGCTGTGTGCGCGTGTGTGCATCGGTGCGTGTGTGTGAGAACCCACACACGCGGTGTGTGCACGTGCTGTGTGTGAGTGTGTGCATCGGTGCGTGTGTGAGAACCCACACACGCGGTGTGTGCACGTGCTGTGTGTGCGTGTGTGCATCGGTGCGTGTCTGTGAGCACCCACACACGCGGTGTGTGCACGTACTGTGTGTGCATGTGTGCATCGGTGCGTGTGTGTGAGCACCCACACACGCGGTGTGTGCATGTCCTGTGTGTGCGTGTGTGCATGTGCGTGTGTGTGCATATCGCACAGGCAAAGGTTTTTGCAAGAGGAACCGGATGACAAGTAGAAAATCTCTAAGTGTTTCACTCTTAGCCTCTGTCGTAGCCCTCCCTCCTATTTTAGTCCGGCTTGCTCAGATGTTTGAGTGGATCTTAGGATAGTCGCCTCGACAAACAGACAGCACAGAAAAATCGAGTTCTCTGTACCTTAAGGTTGATACCAATTTTATGTAATTTAAGTAATTTAAAGCTGAATTTCTCAGCCTACAATTAGGGTTTAAAGCATCCGCTTTGCAATTAAAATAGTACAAGAATCTAACGGTTTTAATTAATTTATCTTAGCCCTGATATACTGGCCAAGTCTGAGCTTGAATGTTAAAGACACTTAGGTAGTGGGTTAAATGGCTCCAAGTAGCACAGCTATTCGAAGTCCTTGTAAAACCCCCCATTCTTCAAGTATGAGTGGTACACGCTTCTGAAGCACTGAGGCTGTGCATTTGCAAGGCTCGAATGTACCATTGACTGACAGCTACGGCTTCTGCAACAACCAGTTATGTGCAGACGTGCACTTAGCAACAAGACAATTAAATTCATAGCGAGGGCTACGGATTGTAAAGCTAAGAGAGTAGGACCGGGGAAGAGGAGGGGCAGGAAACTGCTTTCACATCGTTCTCAGCGTTGAGAAACGGCTGATGTGAGGGTGCCAGTTAAGTGCAGAGTCCTTTAGCTGACCGCATCAGCTGTCCACTTCCGTCACATCTTCAAGCCATTGACAGTAACGATGAAAAGGCCCCGGTTGTCCTGGTGCACACTGCCCCCTGGTGGCAACGAACGTGTCTTCCGGAGGGTAGAGTCACCTTTCCTCTCTCCCATTCTTTACCTCCTTCATTCGATCATTTTCTTTCGAGTAATTTTCGAACTTAGATATAGCTGAGTCCCAGCCGACTCAAAATCACTATCATCACCATCACCACCACCATCACCACCATCACCACCATCACCACCACCACCACCACCACCATCATCACCACCACCACCATCATTACCCACACATGATCACCACCACCATCATCATCACCAACACCACCGCCATCATCATCACCAACACCACCATCAACATCACATGATTACCACCGCCATTATCACCGCCACCATCACCACCACGACCAATATCACCACCATCACTACCTTCAAAATCACTATCATCGCCACCCTTACCACCACCACCATCATCATCATCATCATCTACAACGTCCACGGTTCTCACGCAGCTAAAGTTTAATGCTTTCATGTGTGGGGCTGCAATCGTGGCTCAGTGGCATGGATGGCAGCTCTTGGTGGAGGACGCTCTGAACACACACTGCCATGCTGGGTAATAACAGCTTCGCAAAAGAAATATGTTGCAATCTCTGCCTGACTTTTAGAAAACCACACTCCTTTTTTAAAAATGTAGAATAATGTGATTTTATTACTTCTTTTATGACATGGCATGTAGCAACAGATTCAAGGAATTTTGAGCTATTCCACATAGCAAGAAGTTAATGAGATATTTCTCCTCGATATCCAATGAAATAATGGAACTTACACAGCGAATTTGGGTTAGAACGCCTCCTAAATGATTAGCCTTCTTTTTGAGTAGAGTCCTGGCCCGTCTTATTGCTCCCCTGGTTCCTGGACTAGTTTCGTTGCCTCTAGAGTCACTACATCCAACTTAACCCATCCCTCGTTGCTTCTGGATGCTTCTAAAACCCAAATGAGCAAATGTCACATTCCTTTTAAAAAACTGTTTATTTAGTACGCTATTTCACACTTTCGAGATAAAAGTCAAACTCATTTTATTGGTGGCTGAAGCCCTTGGTCATCTGGCTACTTCCTGTGTCCTGCCGGGCACCCCACTTGCGGTTCTTGCACAGAGCACATTGCCCTGTGCCCCTTGGCCTTGGCCTTGGCGTTCTGGTCTGTTCGATTCTGGAATGCCCCCTTCTCTTTCAGGCATCAGGAAACCTCCCATTGGAACTGTGTTCGTGTCTCATATTAAGTGTCGTCTCCTCCACGAAGCCATCCATCTCCCTTCTTGGCCGACAAGCTGCTCCTGTCCCCCTTCCAGAGACTTCACCCAGGTGTCCAGACCTGTCATTGGTCTGGGGTCCCTGAGACTGCCAGCTCCTGGCCTGCAGGAACTGGGTCCTGGTCCTCACCACCTAACAGATCAGAGTTCAATCCAACGTGCCGAACAAATGGATTTCAAACTCTCCTCTGGATATGCAAACCTGGGGATTCCGCTGACACCTGAAACTCTTCCCCAAGTAACCCATCGTCACCTGCGTGAGGCCAGCTGCCCCTGACTCTGCTTCTGCTACTGACACCAACTTTGGTTTCTGTTCCGTTTTCTCCCCCCGCCCCCATAACATGGGCTCCCCCACCTGAAGTCCTATTCCACGGTCTCCTCCCCGTTTTTTCCGGATCCACTGGTTCCCATTTTCTCTTGGAGTCCTAATTCCTACAGATCAGACCCATGCCCGGCCTCGTGGGCCACCTTCCCAGCCCTTCTCGCCTGCACGTGCACCTCGCGTTTGGGATGACCTTCCTTCTGCCACATTCGCATGTCATCACTCTCCTCCTTCAGGCTGATCTCAAAACCCAACTTCTTAAGGGGTCCTTTCCTGTTCTCCGAAAACAGCTGGGATTTCCAACAGCCTTTCGCAATACAAAAACTCCATGAGGTGGGTTAATACTTCACAACGGAGAGGGCTGGGGCTTGGGAAGGTCTACAGGCTTTGGGGCTTAGCGAACGGTATAAGTCCTCAGATTCAGGAAGCTTCCTGAAGGCACGGGTGTGATAGCAAATGTTAAACGACTGGCTCTCTTTAAAAATAAAAAGCCGTAATTTATAGTATTTGTCAATCTCCAGGGTTTTCTACCTTAGTGGATTTCAAGCTACCGGTGCGTGTCTGGCTCGCAACAACGGCTTCTGCACCACACCCCAGGTGGATAGACCGCTGGCTTGAACCCGTCATTCTTTCTTCAGCGCTTTTCTAGCATTAAAAAAAAAAAAAAAACTTCTTCGGCCCCCCCCATCTTAACAGACTAGAGAGTGCACCAGTCAGTGCCCCCTTCCATGTGGGTCCCCTCCCACTTTGTCCTAACAGCAAAGCCACCGCGCTATATCAGGGTCACCGCCACGCCACTTACACCAGCAGCGGGTCCTTTTTGCCACCTGGGTGGTCAGGAGTCCGAGCCCCATCCTAGGGTCTGCTTCACACGAGCAAGTCTGGGGTAACTGTCTTGGTTTGAGTGCCCCGGAAGCAGAGCCGGAGGCAAGGGTCGAGTGTAAACAATGTATTTGGGAGGGGACCCCGAGAAACACTAGTAGGGAAGTGGGGAAACTGGACAAGGCCTGGAAGGAAGCACCAAGTTCACTTCCGTAGGCAACGTAATTTTAATAGCGTTGCAACAGGTGCGGCGTCGCCGAGGGGCCCGGCACCCCGCCCCCAACCCCCAGGTGG